CTGTATTTTATCAAAACCCAAAGTCCACTGACTCTTATTTAATCTATAGAAAGTGAACATGAGAATATCCATAGACACATATGGACCCAAATACATATAGACCCACATGCATGTACTACTTTCAAAGGCATTTCTTGAAGCTTTCAGTGAAAGAGGTTTCCTAAAGGAAGCTTAATTCTTTTTAAGGCCCAACATTTTTATTATTATGTTAAAAGCTTGGAGTTACGTTGATCTATTGTTAAAAGTTTAGTAATTAAAGTAAAAATTAAAAGGCGGAATGAAAATCCACAGTGCATAGAAAATCCAACTGGTATTCAACAGAACCTCTTAAGAAACAGATTTAGGCTTGTGGTTACTCAGCCATGGGGGTAAGTTTGCTTCCTTAAGCTTAGAATCAGTGTTAGCATTAAAGAACGGGATAAAAATTGTATTTTTAGGTAACTGTCACGCCATTTATAGAATGATTAGGAAGTAGAATTATTGGGGATAGTGTTTGAGGTAGTGAAAGACCTAATTAACATTGCTTTTTAAAAAAAAAAACCATCAGCACTCTTCTCCTTGAGCTTCAAAGTCAAAACCACGTATGTATATCCATGTACTTGTTTTTCAGAGAACTGACTTCAATGGGGTTTTAAACAATTTAAACTAGCCTGAATGAATGGCCTTCAGATCTTTTTGTTTTAATATTCCTAATGCTTCATGTGATTATGGACAAACTTTGGGAGTTTATAATATTTATATACTTTTACCCAGACTTCCAAAGATTGGATGTGTGTCATCTGGTGTCATTTGTGATTGGAGTAGATTGTAATGAGCCCGCCTTCCACCACCATAGCATCTCAATGACTCTTTGTGCGTCTCTGCATCCATATAGACAATCTAACAGCTTTCTATTAACTCTTTCTATTGTTCCTAATTCTAATAAAGAGTGATTAGTGAGTTGGGATAGTTTGGGACTACTTGGAAGTTTGTCTGTTCTTAAGCAAGGTTAAAATCCATGCGATCTTCAAGCTCAAGAGCTGAAAGAAGACTCACTGAAGAGAAAAAACAGCATGGAACCTAACATGTAAATGCAACTGGCAATGGGGCTGTGTTGGAAGGTAATATGGTAGGAGAAAGAAAATCCAAGGTATTACCTGTCCAATAGTCATCAGCTAGATCTAGGCCAGATGCTGATTGCCCTAGTTGTGTCTGCTGGTTAATGACCGCAATAAAGTTATTTGTATTTTGCTCTAATTGTGAGACATGGAAAATGACCACTAAATTCTGTAATCCCTTCTTAAAAATCTAAATCAGTGGTTCTCAACCTGTGGGTCGGGACCCCATTTGGGTTCAACGACCATTTCATGGGGGTCGCCAAACAATGCAGTCCGCCATTTTTTTCCCCTTTTCCTTAGCTGTGCTACTCCCTTTTATTCTATTGGCTTTTGAAAGCCAATAGAATAGACTCTCTTGAATAGAGTCTAATTCTATTGGCTTTCAAAAGCCAATAGGAATTGTCCAGGCTGTCTCTGCCCTGCTGAGCCCGCCAAAAGCCCCAGTCTGCAAACGGTTCTGCAAGTTGTCTGCAGTGAAGGCTAAGCAACTACTAAAAATGTAAGTAAAAAAGGGCCAGAGGTGGGAGGCCGGTGGGCGCAGGGAGGGTTGCTGGCGCACATGGGGCCTGGCGGGTGCGTTACCTCCCTTGGGCTGAGCCAGCTGGTGGCCCAGCCGGTGGTCGCCCTGCGCCGTCACTGCCCCTTGCCAGTTTCGCCTCGGCCGGCGCAGGGGGCGGCACCATGCATGCGCGGCACTCCCGGGCAGGGAAAGTCCTCGACTTACGACCGGTTGGGTAGTCCTCAACTTACGACTGGTTGGGTAGTCCTCGACTTATGACTGGTTTGGGTCACAGCATTAAAAAGGTTGAGAACCACTGATCTAAATGGTAATTCTAGCATTTAGAAACAAGAAGGGTATATATAGCTTGGCACACATATATATTAAGCATATATCATAACTAATGAAGATATGCTTAGTGTTGTTCTGAGACTAAAAATTAGAGAACAAGAAAAAATGCTCATTTTTGGACTTTTGCATTAGATTTGTGCCAGGTTTTCAGCTGGGATTGGAAATCTGCCCACAAAAGAATTGCAAACCAATTTGTGAAGCTTGAAGTTGGGAAACTGATGCTGTGTGGTCCTTGATGCTCTCTGAGTATGCTTGTTTTCTTGCACCAATTAGGTATCATCATCAATGAGGTGATGCTACTTGACTCTTTTACAGCAAGGCTAAAATTGCTTCTTGCTATCCTTTAAATGAATAAAAAAGGGGAGAAAATGAGAAGGAAGGCTCTCCTCTCCCACAAACACACATACCATAGTTCAAACAATTCCCTTCTGCAAAACCTTATCATTCCTTCTTCCTACTTCAGCAGCAGGCTTTTTTTATTTTTTTCCAACTTAATAAAGTATTAGGAAGATGTTGAAACAAAACAACAAAGGCGATTAGAGGACAGGAGGTTAAAATATATGAAGAAAGGTTGCAGGAACTGGGTATGTCTAGTTTAATGAAGAGAAGGACTAGGGGTGACATGACAGCAGTGTTCCAATATCTCAGGAGTTGCCACAAAGAGGAGGGGGTCAACCTATTCTCCAAAGCACTTGAAGGCGGAACAAGAAGCAATGGATGGAAACTAATCAAAGAAAGAAGCAACGTAGAACTAAGGAGAAACTTCCTGATAGAGAACAATTAATCAGCCGAAGTTGTAGGTGCTCCATCACTGGAGGTTTTAAAGAAGAGATTGGACAGCCATTTCTCTGACATGGTACAGGATCTTCTGCTTGAGCAGAGGGTTGGACTAGAAGACCTCCAAAATCCCTTTCAATTCTGTTATTCTACTAAGAAAATATACAAAAGGAGCAGTATATCTATCCTTCTGACCTTCACTCTGAAAAAAGAACAGGACCACAGGGAGAGGAGGAGGAGAGAGAAATCAACAAAAGGCTGAATTTGAAAGTGAGCTAGAACAGAACTGGGGTTGTGGAGGGTGCTGCCAACTGGTCTTAGTCTAAGCTCCCATCTCCCCTTTTGGTCACACATCCAGAGGAGAATATGTGCTTCCCTGTGTATAGGATCATATAGACCAGTGGTTCTCAACCTTTTTAATGCCGCGAACCTCAACCGGTCATAAGTCGAGGACTACTCAACCGGTCATAAGTCGAGGACTACTCAACTGGTGCAGCACCGTTTGCAGAATGGGACTTTTGGCGGGCTAAGCAGGGCAGAGACAGCCTGGACAATTCCTATTGGCTTTTGAAAGCCAATAGAATTAGACTGTATTCAAGAGAGTCTATTCTACTGGCTTTCAAAAGCCAATAGAATAAAAGGGAGTAGCACAGCTAAGGAAAAGGGGAAAAAATGGCGGAGTGCATTGTTTGGTGACCCCCGTGAAATGGTTGTTCGACCCCAAATGGGGTCCCGACCCACAGGTTGAGAACCACTGATATAGACAGATGAAGACAAGGAAGCAGAAACATATACTGTGCTGATGCAATGTGCTACTCCGTAATACTGAAGAAAATACTTACGGCTGCTAAGGCCACTGCTAGTAATAGGATTGGAAAGAATTCTAGATCCCAGGCTCTGCCCGTTTCTTCTCTTCTGATATACTTGCAGTCAGACTTTGAGTGCATCTCTGCAATGCTTTCTTCCAGAGATAAGGACTTAAACTCAGACACCTTCAAGGTAAACACTGAGAGTTTTAAAAAGACAAACGTATTCATACTCATTTCTAATGCTCTAGTGCAGGCGTCTTGAATCTTGGCCCTTTTATGACTCGTGGACTTCAACTCCCAGAATTCTTGGCTGAGGAATTCTGGGAGTTGAAGTCCACGAGTCATAAAAGGGCCAAGTTTGAAGACCCCTGCGTTAGTGGGATAATATTGATTTGAATAGATAAAAACAGATAGTGACCAAAAGCAGACCTGTAAAGGATTATTCTATTTTTTTTATTAGAATCGTAAAGTGTCCCATATTCACTTTATGATGCAATTCATCATCCTACCTTGATGATATCACTTCTTTATATTCAACTGGATTTCCCTTCATTCTGTTCTGCATGTGGCTATTCATGTTTCACTATTGGGTAGTGTAATGCTGTCCTGCCAATTATTTGTGCTCAGCTGAATTATTTCTCAAGCATTAATTGCAAAGCCGGATCCTTTCATCTATAATTTTTTAATTTCACTTCCACCTCGCAAAAGAGAACATTTACATTATTATTCCTACAGAGCATCTTTCTTTTGTAAATTTCCTATGGCGTACTTACAATTGCAATTTTATTTATATACCAAGTCCTGTTAACTCAGACTGTAGTGTGGCTGGGTTACTCATTAGATGTTCCGGGCAATAGTATTAAGGATGTAGGACAGGCATGCTGGCTGAGAAATTCTGGGAGTTGAAGTCCACAAGTCATAAAAGGGCCAAGTTTGAAGATCCCTGATATAGGAGATGATCAGGTTGAGTCCAAGAGTGGAGTCAATCACGTTCATCAATTTTGGAGTCCCTTCAGACCCGCAAGAGATCTAAGTCCAGCCCCACGCTCATCTACTGCCAATTTGCCTTGATCTTTAGTAGTTCAAATTCTTGTAATGAGCTAGCATGGATTAGACTTGTACTCATTTGAACAATCTTGGTTCCTGATTTCTTGTGCCTGACAAAGGTGGTATGTTTATTTATTTTTATTTTATTTATTTATGAGACTTATATACCGCTTTAAGTGCAAGCACTCTCTAAGCGGAGTACACCAGTAAGCAATGTATATATATATTTACATTGCCCCCAACAATCTGGGTCCTCATTTTACCTACCCCGGAAGGATGGAAGGCTGAGTCAACCTTGAGCCCGTGAGATTTGAACCACTGACCTGCTGAACACAGTCAGCTAAAGTGGCCTGCAGTACTGCACTCATCGTATCTTGATGTACTTGTTATTTTAACATGCTAAAAAAAACAGACTCAGTATAAAAATAACATTTTAATGTTTAATAATCAATCCCCTATGTAAAATACATCTTTTGGACATAGAAATTAACGAGTGAAAAAAGCAGCATGTTTGGGAAGCCGAAGTCTCACTGGAGGTCACATGAATCGACAGTATTAAAGAAAGAAGATGAAATAGTTGATTTTGAAGAAAAAACAAACAAACAAAAAAAAAATCGGGCATCCAAATGGTTACTTTCCCCTTAGACATAGCAATATTTTTCCAACATAAATTTTGAATTGTAATTCAAAGTACCAAAATACCTAACTTTAATAAAATGAGTTATAAAATAATTTATTTCTTAGAACCTTAAAAAAGCCATCTGGGATTATATACTTTAAAAATTAGACTTCAATGCATTTTACGCTTTCTCACTTGAACAAAGACTTACCTGGCCTGTCAAGTCAAATTATAGTGCTACGTCTATGACAAATTTGAGGATAATCATATCTAAGAATGTGGCGTAAGATGGCCACCTCCTGAAACACTCTGTCAGGAAAATAAATTAGGAAGCAAATAACATTTCTTGAACGAACATCCTTCTGTTGCTTAAATTTATTCCGTACATTTTTCAAAACAAATCAACAGAGGAAACAAGATACCACTAGGCCTTCCTAAGGCCTGTAAACCCAAATCACTTGCTCCTCCCTTTTTTTGTCCCTTCTATTAAACAGGTGAAATCGCTACCTCCATTTATTTTTGTATCCATACCTAGGTCACCTGTCAATTTGTCTGCATGCAAATAAACTATATGCATTAAGCAGAAGTATTTTGAGACATAGATTTACAAAAAGAGTGTATGCAACTGAGGATATGTATTTTTTTTAAATTGCTTTCATCTTATCACTCCCCACCTCCTACCTCTATATTTCATCCAATATTCCAGGAATTGTAAAAACATTTAACAAATAATGTATTTCTAATGCATAAATAACTTGTCATTACAAACCAAGATGCTCTCCTTATGGAATGGTTACTGATACACTCTTTGTGCTGTGATAGCCTAGTCTGCATTTTGTGGAAGGAATAAATCTCCATCTCAGATCAAGCTGGCTTTCGGTGTGGTTTTCTTTTTCTTCTGTTTGATAAGAAATAAACTTTCATCCCTGGTGTAACTGTTGTTTGTGTGGCTCCTCTGCTTTTTCTTTCTCTTCTGCCTTTTTGCTGACCCCATAGAAATTTGTTGATTTTCAGTTTTGCCATCTGCCAGAAAGCCAACACTCTGATGATGATGAGTTTTCCTTTTGCACCTCTTATGTGCATTCCTGTGGCCACCTCTAGGAAAGCACTCTTCTATCGCATAATTGTTTTGAGCTTCCTTCTTACGCTTCCTTTCTTTGATTAGATCTGCAAGAGATTTTTTCCTTAGATTGTTGTGATCTCCCCTCTTGCCATGCTCCTTCCAAACGTTCCTCTTTTTCTTATGTTTGTGTTCTTCTTGATCATAATCTGTATGTGGTCTTTTTAGAGTCTTTGGTAGAAGGCCAGCTTTCTGAAGTTCTGCAAAATAAAAACACTTGATGATACTTCACTTAAAATACAGAACACTGTATTTGTTACCTCCCTAATATCTAGATTTAGAAAAATCAATCTATATCCTGTTTGCAATTAAATAAATGTAACAAAATAATAAAGACTTGCATATCTATCAATTTTAGACGTAATTTGTAAAAAGCACACTGACCAGCAGACTGATAATGGAACAAGTCTCCTAAAACTGATGAAACACCCATGGCAATTCCAGTCTATAACATTTTGCTAAACCTATATGTTTGATCTCAAGAGTATGAAACCTCAAATCAAAACTGGATAAATCTTCCAATAAAATAATTAGAAATTAGAATACCTTTGAAATCAAGTAATCCTTGATAAAATGCAAACACATATTTTAAGCAAATGTTGGACAAATTTAACTTTATTTTTGAAAGTCATGATTGACAATCCTGAGAGGAGACAACCTACAAACAAGCTAAAAAATTTTCCTTTTCACAGGTTCACTGCAGATCCTTGATATATTAAGAAGCTTAAGGAGATGAAGCAGGAGATATCAATAAGTACTGCTGGAAGACCACCCATCACAAGTCTGACTGGATGATATTTGAGTCTACACAGTTTGATTCAAATAGCAGAAAGGAGATATTTTGCTGTCTTGATTGCATTTGCCAAATGCCACCTAGCAGCTCTTTTTAAAGTAACTAATTTCCTATTGGGGAAAGATGATCAACAAACCCTATCTGAAGGACCGCTATGAAGAAGGAAGTTGGACTTCATCTTGGGCAGGGGAAAGCATATAAAATATATTTCCTCCTCTCTTAGCATCTTTGTCCCTGATGGGCACAATCACCATAGCAGCCAACAGTACCCAGTATAACAATTGTACAGATATATTGAACCAAAGCTTTAATAAATACAGCTGTTCCTGCTGATGATACTCCGGCATTCAAAAACTGATAGCCATATATTTGGGCCCTGAGGCATACATGCAATGTGACAGAAGTTCTGACTCAATCCCTAGAAGAACAGATTCAGGCTGAATATCTCCAAGACAGAATGGCTGTGGTAATGAACAAAGATGTCTTCCCCCATTCAGAGGTAGTTCACAATCTGGAGGTTTTGTGGTTGGGAAGCTTTTGCATCCTTTTTATATCCACCCACCATTTGTGGACATACCTGGATTGGGAAGTCTTGCTTATAATCGCTCATATCCTAGTCATCTCCTCTTTCCATTGCTGTAATGTATTCATCTTGGGGCTGCTCTTGAAGAAATTTTGGAATCAATAGCTGGGGAAGATACATATAACCTGGTACACCTGGGTGACCCTGCTTCTTCAGGAGCTGAGCTGGTTGCCAGTTTGTTTCCAGATGCAATTCACGATGCTGGTTGTCATCATTAAGGCCCTAAATAGTTCTGGTTTAACTATTTAAGGGACTGCCTTCACTCGTATTCATCTGTCTGTTCACCCAACTCAACCATGATCAATTCCCACAACTATATGATCTATTCTTACAAGATTGACACTGAAAGTGTGCTTTTTTTGATAGCTACCCCCACATTTTGGAATACCCTTTCTACAGTGATTTCTTCTTCTTGTGCCATATCCGTTATCGGATGTTGGCGATCATGTTGGCGATCCTGTTTTTATCAGCAGCCGCACGAAAAAGTGCTGCTGAGTTTTGTCCAAACCAGTCCCTTAGATTTTGAAGCCACGATGTTCTTCTTCTGCCTGTACCTCGTTTGCCTTCAATCCCTGTAGGATTAAATGGAGTATGCCATATTTTTCTAGGTGTCGCATCACATGTCCGAAATATTCTAACTTTCGTTTTTTAATTGTTTTGTTGATTTCCCTTGGCTTTCCCAGGCGGCTTATCACCTCATTTCTGATCTTGTCAACCCAGCTTATACGTAACAGCTGCCTGTAAATCCACATTTCAAATGCTACTAGTCTCTTCAGGTGGCCTTCTGTCAGAGACCAACTCTCTACTCCATAGAGCAGGATAGAAAAAATATAACATCTGATAAGCCTGATTTTCAATTTTAGGCTTATGTCGTGACTGCAGAAGACCTTTTTCATTTTGAAGAATGCTGTTTGAGCTTTCTCTATCCTTATTTTTACTTCAGTGGTCATGTCCCAGCTTTCATGTAAATTAGAACCGAGGTGCGTGATCCTTTCAACCTTTTCTACAGTGATTTGGTCAGCTTTAATTCTAATTTCAGTCTACGTTTTGATACACTGAGAGGGGGTTCCTTCTCAAATCTTTTTGTTAATGTTGATGTTTTTATTTTATGAGATTGTTCGCCACCTAGAACATCGAGATCAGATAGTACACACATGAAATATTGTTTTTTTAGAGGTTACAGTCTATGAGGAACTGGACTTTGCAGTTTGGCCTTCTGACCTTTCGGAAGTCCTGAGTGTCTGTTACAAAAATCAGTATAACAATTGTACAATTGTGTTTATTTATTTGCATTTTTAATGGATCTGTGATGGATTTTTTTTGGTACAAATTGGAACATTTGGCATCTGAAACTCTTCCATTTCCATCCTTAAAATTCTCACCAAACAGCTCAAGGTTATGCCCTCAAAATTTGCAAGAAAAATGACTGAGGTTCGCATTGAGTTTGGAAGGTTTAAAAGGTAGAAATAAAAACAGAAATTAGTCAGAGGCAACTTATTCTTATTCTACCTTTATTTATTGTGCCACCAGACATTGACTATTTTGTCACTAAATTTTGGCATGATCTTGGGTTACTGGGGGGCTGCAGGTGGGGGTACTAGGGACCATATGAAGCCTTCTGGCAAAGTTACCCATCTTAATCTAATTAAGTTAAAAGAGGCAGTAAACATAATAGCTGGCTAAGAATTTTTTTTAAAAAAGAACAAGATCACTAAATATATATATCATACCTTGCACTTTTTTCTTTGCTCTCTGGAGGCTCTTCTTGATATCATATTTATTGTCATAGTAACAGATAAAGGGGTAAGAAAGAAATATTCCTCCAAACATTCGCTTCCCTGAGCATTCCTGCAAATCAGATTTTAAATTATTTTCATACCTCTGGTTAATGCAAACTCAAAAGAAACAAATGAAAGGAATTGACCCAATAGCTTTTCCATTGGTAGTAAAACGATCCGTTTTCTCTAAAAATGCATACTGAACCTGCTGGTTTATCCCAAAAGAAGAGGGGCAAGATTATATAGATTATAATTGCAAATGTCACCTGCATGAAATATCACTACAAATTTAAGGTGCAAGTGACTGAACATAGCTACGGTATAGATTAATCTAGATTCATTTTTCCTATAAATTCACATAATCCTGAAGTTACAACTATTCGTTTAGTGACTATTCAAAGTTAAAATGGCACTGGAAAAAGTTACTTATGTCCAATCCTCACGCTTATGAACACTGCAGCATTCCTACAGACATGTGTTCAAAATGTTGCTTAGCAACTGGCATGTATTTTACAACAGCTGCAACATCCCGGGATCATGTGATCACCATTTGCAACCTTCCCAGCTGGTTTCCTTCAAGCAAAGTTGCTGAGGCAGCAGGATTTGTTTAATGACTTTGTGATTCATTTAACAACAGCAGTGATTTGCTTAACCACACTGGCACAAAAGGTCACAATATTGTGACTCACTTAACAACTGCCATGCCTAGCAATGGTTCCAATTATGATCTTAAGTTGAGAATTACCTGTATTAATTCATTGGAAAGCCTGAAAACAAAATCAACTACATGTCAAATCTGAGCTGCATTTCAGATAGGTCTATAATTAATGGCCAAAAAGTTGTACTTTCTTCCCATATAGTATCATCAGTAGACATATTATGCTTCCTTTAGGACCAAGGGAGTCTTAGCAGTAAGTTTTGGTACGGTGTAGCAACAAAATTCCTAGGCTATCTTTCTTGCCTATGAGAAAAATATTCAAACCTGGAACAAATCCAAAGGAGAGAGTGAAACTTTCTATAATACAATGACTCCTTTCTATGATCTTTTGTTGATTTTGACTTGTACAGAGCAAAAGAAATCTCTCCAAACCACATCTTGTTCTATCTACAGCTGCCTCAGTTTTGCAAGAAACTTGTCTTGGAGGCTCCGGAATTCAAATATACGGGATGAAAGTAAAAACTCACTTTAGTCAAGAAATCCAGGTATTTTACTTACTTACTTATTTTATTAAATTTATATGCAGTTCATCTCACTTTACACTGGTAGCATTATCTTTCATCTAAAGATTACAATTTTAGAGCAGCAGATAAAGAAGTCACAATGAATATTTTTTTTTTTTTGCTTTTGTAGGAAATAATGGTTTAATCATATTGGAGTGTTATTCATTTATTTAACAATATTTGCTCATTGCTGTAATCACAAGGATTCTGGGCAGCGCCAGTAATGAAAATTAAAATGTTACAAAATATTCTTTTAATACAATAAATAACTGCACGATAATCATATTATTGGCCAAAGATTTGTGAGAATAAAAGGATTTTTTTAAATGAATGAAAAGTTAGCTACATAATACTCCAGAATTTGGAGGCTATTACTGAAAAGGCCTATTGTTTTGTCCTGGTCCACAAATTCTGGTAGACAGGATGGAGATCATAATAGGCCTCTTTTTTTGACTGTATTAGATAGGCAGAATTTTTTTTTAGTATCACAGTCACATATCTATGCTAGTGGCTCATAAGGTTTCTTAAAGGATGACCACAGACTGAACTGGACCCAGAAACCTACTGGTAATCTATCATAATACTTAGTAATCTAAATATAGATTTTACCTTGCAATAGCCTGGTAAATGATCATTACATTCTGGACCAGTTACAAGTTCTGAATCATCTTCAAAAGTACCCCAAAGTTATTGCAGGGCATAGGTTATTGTTGCCGGCAGGTAGATAGATAGGTTGGTCCAGATAGGGATGAAATTGCATATCAGCCAGATAAGGGTGAAGGATCCCTGAATATGGCTTTCTACCGCTGTTTCAAAAAACCCTGAGTTCAGAAAGGTCTCCAAATCATGGGCCAGTTCTTTGGGGAGAATCTTAATTCTATCAACAGTCACACTGGCTTATATTCCTTGATACTTACTAATAAACATCTATCTCCATGTTAGTAGAATATAATCTAATGTTGTATCTGCTAATGCCAGGCAATCAGAAAACAATACTCTAATGAAGGAACAATCAAGGAGAAAACCATACACCCCATCAATACTGGTGAGACCTGCTACTGTATATAAACAGGGAACAAACTTCACACTTAGTTTTCACACTCAGTAGCACTGATGATGGTACCTAGTCAGGTAGTGAAACATCTGCAAGCAAACAAGCTCAGAGAGAACAAAGAATCCCACAATTCAATCCTGAGCTATTTAAACTTTCCTCTATTGGATTTTGTGTCTCTCTATCTACATCCTTATAGCTTCCATACCCTACAGATTTCTGTAGCATTTTCAGTCAGCCTCTCTCTCTCTCTCTCTCACAGAGAAAGACAGACGGAGGGAGGGAGGGAGGGAGGGAGAGAGAGAGAGAGAGAGAGAGAGAGAGAGAGAGAGAGAGAGAGAGAGAGAGAGAGAGAGAGAGAGAGAGAGAGAGATGAAATAGCCTTTCCCAATTTATAAATCTGATTTGAAACAATTGGTTATTTAATGTAACTGAGGAGATCATCTGCCAATCCACACACAATATATCTTGAAGAAAACTTTGTTCTGAAACTTCGAAAGTATATGGAATGTCTTGGCTGAAGTGCAGCTCTCTGCATACCACACATGACTAGGTGCAGCTTTCCCTAAATCCCCTCCATGCCTGAAACCAATATAGTGAATTCTAAGAGAAATATTGAGGTCACCCAGAACAAAAGAAGGTAGGGGGGAGGGTTGAGTGAACTCATAGATAACTACTCAAAAAACTTCAGTTACAGATAAGTAATCAGTTCTTCACTGTGGTCTCTGTGATCATACACTCATGGGTGAATAGCTGGCCTATTATCTAGAGGGGCTTAGTGCTCATAAAGTACAATGCAAAGGACTGCAGCTCTAAAAGCTACATCCTTCTGAGAATCAAAATCCATACGATTATGCTAGATACAGATAGGAAGTTGTCCTACATAATTATGAAAGGAAAATCTAATGTAGAAAGGGTGCACGTGGAATCCTAGCTCTTGCAAAGTGGCCACAGATCAAAAGAGGGCACTTTTCGTTGCTTAGCTCATAACACAACCTGATGTCTGCAACAATCCATTTTGAAAAATTCACAGGGTCTAGGATGGACCCAAAAAAAACTAAAAACATATACTGATCTCAATGAAAGTGAAAGGGAATGACTTCTCAGTTACTATTTGGAAAAGGAGAGTACAGTTATGTTCAGATCTCAAAAGAACACAGGCCCATGATTTTTGGCAAGACATTTTTATAAGCTTGAGAAGATTCTGAGTGAGCTCTGCTTAGATGTATAACCCATGTGCCTAAATCATCATGATAAAGAATACTTTCAGGGAAGAAATAAAGACTTCTCTCATCCATAGCTATTAAATAAGGATAAATAATCCTTGATTGCTGTGGAATATACTCCTCCAAAGTTTCTGGAGATGCTGTAAAGACAAATATTCCAAGAAGATGGCCTTTCCCTTAGTAACTTGACAGTAAAGCCCTAGTGGATAAAAAAAAGTAGAGGCCTCTAAAAATAGCCACTCCTACTCGTTTTAACATGGATCTATTGAATAATAATCTGAATAGTGTATGACATGCACTTCCCAGACCTGTCTCGTCTAAGTCAACTGCCACTACTGCCACATGCTTTGTATTTTTAAATACTCTGGAGATGTTCCTTAGCGCCACAGGTAAAACACACAGGATAGAAATCTCAGGCTCTTATCAACACACCTGAGAAAAGTTGTATCTGACTGACAGTGTGGAATATGAATGCTAGGCAGAGCTACAAAGTCTCTGCTTTGTTTTGTTCTTTTGGGGTCCTGCAATTTGCAGATGTGGGCACAAATGTGACTACTAAGATTTAACTAGCATTGGGATGAGTCCTCCAACTTAGATTCTTGTATTCAGGGCTTTTTTTCTCATAGAATGCCCAGAACGGAGTTACGGCACCATTTTTAGATGGAACCTTGTAGGTTAGGCAAGGTGGGTTGTATAACATGTGTGAGTTCCGGCACCCTTTTTTTTCTTTCAAAAAAAGCACTGCTTGTATGAACACATTTTAGAGGAAAAAGATTCACAGCATCATTCACTTTTGATTGCTAATCCTTTAGGTTGCTTTTCAGCTCCCAGTTTCCTAGAACAATATGGCTTAGTAGCTTGTTTTTTGCTTCTACTAATGCTAATATTTTCAGATTTCTAAACTAACATATTCATTATGTTTCACAGGCTGGCCATTAACTGCAATAAAGAATATGAATGAATGAATGAATGAATGAATGAATGAATGAATGAATGAATGAATGAATGAATGAATTCCTGAGGATTGTGTTAATGTCTATAACACAAGCTGCAATGTCTTCATAGTTTCTCATTCCTGCTATTCAAAGAAGAATTGAAAAATGCAAGATCTGTTCCTGTTATGAAAATAGTGATTTGTCTGGAGAACTGTATATCTCTTGCTTCAGAACATGATGTTACATTAAGGCAGATATCTACCCATCATTGACTCCAGATGATTTAATTAATATACTGCTCTTAGGATAGTTCCAATTCATTAAAATGAATATACTGTTCTTAAGATAGTTCCAATTCATTAAAATTACTTGGTCACTAAATTATACCAGCAAGCCTTAACAGATACAGGAAACCTCTGTATTAGTTAACCTAGAGTAGACCACTCTTAACTGCTGACTTTTTCTTAATCAAATTCTTCACTGCATTTATTAACAAATTTATTGGTTAGTATCATTTTCACATGCCCACTGATTCTGAATTCTCTTTTATAACAGGTTGGTGACAATTAAAATTGTGATGTGATATCACTGTCTTTGAGAAATGACAGGTTCTTGTAAAATCTCAATGAAGTCAATGAAATGTTAACATGCTCCATTAGGTCATTCAGTTTCTCATAATTTTTTCTCGCATCTGATCAGCCAGACACTCCCTGAAGCTTAAGATATTAAATATGGTAGAATAATTCCAACTATTTCTAGAAAGAATTCTAAAACAGGGAATTCTGCACAAATCACACGTAATATATTTTATTATAAATCCATATAAATTCCAGGAAATTTTAAACAACATTTCCATTTTTAAACTATGTTACTAAACTATGCTCTTTTTACAGCAATCAATGGGCTGTAACTTGTTTTATACAATAATGTACAGGACAGTTATCATAATAAATGTCTTCCTTTTGCTATTTTATTTTTACTCCCCCCCCCGATGAAATTTATTGATATCCCAACCACAGTTCTGTTCAAAAGCTCTATTTATATTCTTATCATCTATCGAAGACTCCCATCTCTATGCAATAAATGGTCTTCCTGACTTTCTTCAAATCATAAAAACGATTATTTATTTATATCCTGCCTTTTATTATTTTTACAAATAAGTCAAGGTGGTAAGCATATCCGCCTTGAGTTATTTGTAAAATAACTGAGCCCTTGTGGTGCAGTGGTTAAAATGTGGTATTGCAGATTAACTCTGCCCATAGTCTGAAGTTCAATCCTGGTAGGCTCAAGGTTGACTCAGCCCTCTATCCTCCCAAGGTCAGTAAACTGAGGACCCAGATATATGCTGATGTTGGAAATCACTCAGAGAATGCTATAACACACTATGAGAAGGCATATAAAACTAAGTGCTATTGATATTGCTACATCCAACATTCCTTTCTCCTCCTTTTCCCCCACAACAACCACCTTGTGAGGTGGGTTGGGCTGAGTGTGTGTGGCTGGCCCAAGGTCACCCAGCCAGCTTTCGTGCTAAGATGGGACTAGAACTCACCGTCTCCCAATTTCTAGTCTGCTGCCTTAGTCACTAGACCAAACTTACTCTAGTATAGTGTATATGTGTATTTGTGTACTGAAAAAAACCCACACATGTTTAGTATTTACGGAAAAGATCTCTGTATGTGATAGGCATTTAAAATGACTTGATAGTTCTTAATCAAATTTATACTTATTTCTGCTGAAATCCAGATGGCAAAAACTTGATATTCTCCAATATTTAATGGCCTTCCTATATTTGCTATGATACTGTTATTTATTTAGATCAGTTACAGCCAACTTCTTTATGTGGTATAAAGCAGAGGTCCTCAACCTTTTGGGCACAGGGACTAGTTATGTGGAGAGAGATTTTTCCGCGGACCGGAGGGGCATGCTTTTGTATGCTGCCTGCATCCCACAGATGGGGCTTTGCTTGTTTGTGCAGCCCGGTTGCTGGCATGCTGTGGCCCAGTACCAGTCCATGGACCGGGGGTTGGGGACCCCTGGTATAAAGTGCATTTTTATATGTTTTGGACTTAAACTGCATGAACTTTTTAATAAAACTCGTTTATCAATCCCAATATTATTGATTCAGTTATTTTCTTATAGCAGTTATTTAAAACTGTCTACTTCAACCCTATATCCAACTTTATATGTTTTGGGTTTAAATTATATGAAGGATGATCGGGAATACATGAATTTGGTTTTTTCTAGATCATTTGCAGATTTTTTTTAATAAGTATGGGATATGCAATTTGTTATATAGTAGTTGAGAGACAAATATGGACCTTATCAGAAAGTAAAGTAACCCAGCAAATATTTATTGTTCATTAATAACATTAAGAGACTTACAAATCCATAGTGGCCTTTCTCTCCACAGTTGTAACAGTATGCTGAAGCAGGTTGCACAGAATAAGAATCAGCCTTCTTGAGTGGTCCTGGTCTAGTCTGAAACAGAAAGAAAAAAAAATGGCAGCAATGAAATTTAATAAAATTCCAGTTAAAATGAACTAAATTAAAACAATATAGTTTCACCTTCCAATAAACAGCAGTGGAATTATACCTGTTACTTATTGGGAAAAATGTATTGCAGTTATATTATACATACCCCCATATTCAACGTGTCTTAAATCTATGCAGATGTCTGTATCATTGCAGACTTAGTTGTATCAATTATAATCCATACCCCAATTCAGATAAAATGAAAAGTGTCTCATAAGAAACCTATTGGTAACTATGTGATAACAGGTAGCACATTAAAAACCATTCTTTACACAACAAAAATAAAGGAATACTTCTAAGTCAATCCCCAAAATAGCCATGCATTAACTTTTGTTATGTTCTTGGATTAATTGCAATTCATTTTGCTATCTGCCACTTGATTACCAAGTTCATAAAAATACTTTCCTGCTGAGAGGAACTTAAAAGTGAAAGCAGAATTGCTGGGAGGAATGTGAGATAAAATATGTGTATGGAACTAAAGATAGATAGTATATAAATTCTAATGTGATACCCAATATGACCATCATAGAGCCGGTGAGGATCAAGCTGCTGGCAATTGGCAGAATTAGCCTGCAATACTGCCTTGTAACCACTGCGTCACCACTGCTCTTATATCTGTATCTCTGTATATCTATATCCATCCATCCATAAATATATACATAGAGATATAGCAAAATGTGAGAAAAATAGAGAGCCAGTTTGGTCTAGTGCAGTGGTTCTCAACCTGTGGGTCGGGACCCCATTTGGGGTCGAATGACCATTTCACGGGGGTCGCCAAGCAAGGCTGTCCGCCATTTTCCCCCCTTTTCTTTGGCCACGCCCCTGGCACCCAGTGATGTATAAGTGGTTGGGGGTCACCACAACATGGGGAACTGTATTATGGGGTCGCGGCATTAGAAAGGTTGAGAACCACTGGTCTAGTGGTTAAGGTACCATGCTAGAAACCAGGGGATTATGTGTTCTATTCTCACCTTAGCCATAAAAGACAGCTGGGTGACTATAGCCAGTCACTTTCTCTTAGCCCAACTTACTTCACAAGTAAGCTGGTTGTGGGAAAAACAGGATGAGGAAGGAATATTAGATAATTTGCTGCCTTGAGTTATTTATAAGAATAATAAATACAGGATTAAAAACAATCTAAAAAACATACAGAAGTATAAAAATGTATTCCTCTTAGATTCACATTCTACAGATTGCCAGAAGCCCAATGTATGATATTACAAGGCAGGATTTTCTAAAGTTTCTACTATAAGGAGCAAATATCAATTCAAAATATATGTGGAATGAGAGCTTAGAATGACTCTCTCAAAAACAATATCCAGATTTCAGGACTTATATAAAATTGAAAACTCACTGAGAAGTGGTTGTAAATTTGATTATTTTTTATTGTTTAATTCTAATGAAAATATTTTTATTTATAAAGTTTAAACATTCTATTCTTACAGTATATGTGTAGTAGTTTCTCTGTGTGCATGTTTTAGAAATTGTTAGTTTTACTTACAATCATAATTGGGACTAGAATTTCTGCTGCTAGGCAAGGCAGATGTTAAATGACTCTTGCACCCAATTTTATGACCTTCTTTGCCAGAGTTAAGCGAATCACTGTACTTATTAAATGAATCATGTGGTTTTTAAAGGAATCCGGCTTCCCCTATTGACTTTGCTTGTAGGAAGCATGCTGGAAAAGTTGCAAAGATCACCAAGACATTGCAACCTTTGTAAATACATGGCTGGTTGCCAAGCACCCAAATTTTGATTACATGACCATAGGGATCCTACAACGGTTGTAAATGTAAGGATTGGACGTAAGTTACTTTTTTCAGTGCTGCTGCAAATCTGAACGGTTGCTAAACAAACTGTTGTAAGTCGAGCACTCCCTGTATTCATGGGAAGTGTCACAGAATTAATTTATTTTAACGGGGTCAAGGCACCACAAAGTATGAGAAATCGGGCTCCAAGTATCTAAATTTAGATTTAAGGCACAGATGAATTCTTGCTTTTATCTCCTTCCAACTTGACCACTTCTAACAATTTGAGAAACCTGACAGTCAAGGAGAAGAGCACTACCTACAGATAGGTTGAATTTTCTGGTATAAAAAGCCTTTTTAAAAACATCTTCACTAAAACACATTTAGTGTTCACTGCACAATAGAAACTGAAGGAAGAAAACTTGGGTTTAGCTAACATGGCTTAAAACAAAAGAAAAAAATAAATCACATCTCGAGAAGGAAAGGGTTTTGCAGGTTTATCCTAATGCTCTTACGCAATCCTTGAAATGAATGGATGGAAAAATGTGAAAATTAGAGGTAAACAGATTAATTGCAATTTTATATTGATTTTATTTTTTAAAAGGTAACTAAGGACTATATCCAGGTATGAATACATTCTAAAAATAATCTCAATCAGACAATTAAAAACCTATTGTTTAATATCCATTCCTTAACAATTAACGTCAAGATTTGTGAAATCTTTCTATTTCTGAATGTAATCAGCATATCTGAACTGTCTGAATAGATTGAACTCTCTCCCAGAGTTGCTTATTATAATTAACTGGTAATAATGGCTGGTGAAAATCACTTCCACCAAATATTATTTTGGCACCCAGTGCAAAATACATGAGAACAAAAAGATGTTATGAGAACATTATGAAAAGTAGCTTTTTTCCATTTCAAATCTCACAAAAAATCCTCAAGGCGTTTTGGGTTTCAGGAAGGATGTGTGTTTTTATGACTTCAAAAAGTGTCTGTCCAGCACTTCCTTTTGTTTATGTAATTGAAAAGGTCAGATTTAAGGAGACAAATTAAATTGAATACTTGCCGTTCAGTTTAACTACGCATGCCTCCCTACAGCTGCCCAAAAGCCAAAAGAGAAAAAGAACCTTACAATATGTTGTCAAGCTCACTATATTCTAATTATTTCAGGTTTTAAAAAGCATTTAAGGTTTCTGATCCAATAGGTAGAAAATGATAGCAGCAGCTCTGCTATAGGATATTTTTTTTGTTAAAAACATTTAAATAATCTATATTTTTGTAGAGTGATATTTTGAAGATTACTTCACTATCAATATATAGAAGTAATAACCCAGTAGATAGCATTACCTATAAAAGGTCCATCCCATCTGCTATTCTTCCTGAAAGCTTTTCATGCACCAGTAAACTCAGTAAATATCAGAAGATAAAGCATAAGCCTACCACGCCACGGATTTACTCCTAATGTCTCCTCAAAGTGCAGCCCCGATGCAACGATTACAAATGATTTTCTTCTAATGTCATTTTACATAACCCTTTTTTCTGCATGAGTAGTTAGTGCAGAATGAGTGAATGAATGAATGAATGCCATTAAAACAGTTAATCATTATCTGGGACACTGGCCTTCCTCCCTTCTCTGCAAGGAATCTCCATGACAAAGGCCAAGAGATCAAAATGCCAGGGCTGCCTTGCTGGCCTATTTCTAACAGTAATTTTTTATGCAAATGGCCCTGCTGGGCAGCTCCCTCCGTGACCTTGAGATGCCCTTATCTTAAACTGACTTTGATCCAATAAGGCCTTCTTTCTATGAAGCTCATTACTTCTCAAGATATGTATCTGACTTAAATTTCACTAATTAAAAGATATTATTTATTCACAGGGTGTGTATGTGTGTGGTTTTATTTTTTTATTTTTTTGCCCTGTACTATCTTACAGCTACATACGCAGACAAAGGGATGGGGGTGGGGAATTATAGTACGGTAAGAAATGGACAATTTCTTTTTCCAAATTTCAGTTGGGAGAAATCTATCTGCGGTTTTTATTTGTCTTATTTATAGTCTGCTTTCTCTTTGGATTCCTAAATATTATTTAGATGTTCCCATTAAATATTTCTTTTAACCAGTTCCATAAATATCTACAGTACAGTAGTGCTGGAGTTTCATGTACTCCCATAGCATTCATTGAAAGAACACAGTTTTGATTGCTTTTCAAAAGCTATGCTACACAGCACTGCATAACACAAAGAACAGCGAGTTTGCTTTGTGAAGTTTTCAGTGTCCCCGCTGTTTGCTACTTCCCAAAACTCCTAACTTACTGCCCTACAATACATATTACAAATATTACAAGATAGGCATATAGTTTTTAAAATATAAAACTCACTCCAAAATTTATCCCACCACATAGATGTAAATGCAGTTCTGCTCACTTCACTCTTCAAAAAGTATTAAGAACATCCCCCCTGCAAAGGCTTGAAGAAATGTTATGATTTAAATATTGAATTAAGTCTTGGTGGGCTGTGGTGAAGGAAAAGTTGAGAACCATTGTACTAAAGAATTATCTTGGAAAACACAAGAACAGTGGTGGAAACTCAGACACCTAGAACCAGACACGATTAATTTTCTCTATTTTAGGACTAGATATTTTTAAAAAATTTCTCCAGAGAAGAACACCTGAGGAAATTACCCAGCCAGGGAAATCCATTACAAGAATAATAGTATTTAAACAGTGCAGGAAAATGAGAAATATATAACCAAGAAATATTCAGAGACAGCCTCCCTTGCAATATGTGATTTAAAGCAGGTGTTCCCCATCCGGGGCCATGGCCCAGTGCTGACCTGTGGCCTATTTGCCACTGGGCCACGTGAGTGGCGGGCTGGCATGCACAAGTTGAGCTGCATGAGCGTGTGCCTGCCGTCCTGCCACTCACACAAGTTGAGCTGTACATGTGTGCACCGGCCAGCTGCTCAAACAGCCCAGTTCCCCTCTCTCCCCCTCTCTCCCCCGCCAAGCCACAAAGGTTGGGAACTGCTGCTTTAAAAGAGTTAAAACAAGGTATTAGGATGATCAAGCCATCACCTGAGGACATCCCAGACTGTCACACTTCAGTTCTTATTCCTTCAGTAAAGATTTTAATTCAGGCTACATTTTAGATATTCTAGTAGGTTTAGCAGTTCTTAGTCTGACTGATTATTTCAATCT